CTCAAGTGTTTGTTATGGAAGCCACTAGTTTAATTTACTGCAAAGATACAGCAAAATTCACTCATTGATACAACAACACGGAGAGCATTTGTTGACTTGGGATTCATTGCTTAAAATGTCCCTCAACGTTGCGACAACTTGTTCTGCGGATCCTAAATTAGCAGTTAATCGGATGTTCTTTTTCCTTAGTTAGTTAAAGCCGTTGTTTAATATTTCCCGAACATGCACGTCGTGGTTGACTTTGACTCTGCACTGTCCTACGCCGACTTCTAAATTATGTATCAGTGGTTTAAGGCAATAATAAGCCATAAATGCAAATGACACTTATGTACTTCATGACTGAAAATCGTCTCCCTCAGCGTCTTCTGGTTACCTCGATAATTACAGTGCATAAGTGATGGGTGAATTGCAACATTTACCCAACGAGTAAAATTTCCTAAGGTGTTTTCTATTGTTAGGGTAAAGAGAGGGTCCAAAGGACGTATTCAAGGCGACGAAATGGACTGATAAAAGTAAGTAAGTAAGTAAGTTCATTTTTTACCAAAAAAATTTCCATCTCCTGTCCAAATGTTCTGGCCAAAATGGACTCTTTTCTTATGCTGAATTACAGGGCCCAGCATCAATGCTATTTTCACCCATAGGTCAAGTAACATGATTCTTCGGAGGCATTAACTTGCTCAATTTCAGGGGAAACAAGAAGGGTGGTTTTGCTAGATTTGGGAGAAATGGGCTAAGTCAAACACAAAGCTTGCTTAACATACGTTTAAGGCACAGATAATGCCCAAAGCAAAGCCCCGCGACTGGACACTATTTCCTTGATTCAGCAATAATTAAGCTATTTTAATTAATTTTACAGATCTATACACCATAGTTATGCCCTCAAACAAGTACTTTTAGAAACAGATAATTTGTCCCCAAATTATTGGAAGTTTTCATCGTACACTTTAGAAAAGCTCACGAAAATATTCATACAATTAAACTCAGAACTGGTCACTCACATTTCCACCTTAATTACAATCAAACAATTTGACCATAGCATTAACAGATTTCAAACTAGGAGGCCATCCCATTCAACCACCAATGTCTCTAAGTAGTAGCGCGGAGTGAAGGCGCTTAATGCATCCATTGGCGAGACGTTCATTGAAGCCAATAACCTGATAAGTGTAAATCAAAGGTCATTCGAATGTGTGATTTGATTCACGATCGGTAGAAATTGCACTAGTGTTGCGTCCGACTGAAGGCGAAAAAACGTAAACAACACAAGCACAGGTGAAGGCATTTTTAACGCTAGCAGGCCGCACAATGCGAGCACGACTATGGTTCGCGCCTCCTGTTTATTACCTATGCCTAGCCTTCCGTTTGTACTACTTGAAATCAGAGTTGTTATCTTCTTACATGCTTTATTCGTTAAACAATTGACATAATTCGCGGGCGTTTTGAGGATCCTTCCAAAAAGGAGCTAATCACTTCTTAAAAGCAGTTTTACGGGAAGCGCGAACCACGATCACATCGAATCCATTATGTAATCATTTAGTGAAAAGTAGTTCTCACATCCTTCATAACCTTACTGATTGTAAACTACTCAGTGCTATTCAAACATTTCAGTGAGCTACAAGCTGTATGCAATTAAATTAGTGGCGAGTACATTGTACTACTATTCGGCCTGTAAAAAATGAGCACCTTACGATATGTTTTCCAGGTGGAATGAGCACGGTTTGTTCCTTCACGGTAATGCCTAGCTTGTTGGCCTGCCTGTATGCGCGGTGGGCTGGCCTCTGGTCCATGCCAAGAGCTCCACTTCTTACTTTTAAGTCGAAATACATATGTTTAAATAAATAATATGCCTCTTAACATCGATTAGGAAGTGTTCGGGCTCTAGAACCACGTTAAACAACTTAGAAAGAGAAAAAGGAGAAATAGGAATTCGCGAAAAAAATAGGTAATTCGGAGCCACTTGACTACACCACTTCACCAAGTGGTTTTGCGTTTAGATTATTGACACCCATGGCATGATAAATATAAAATCGATTTCACCCTCAAACAATGCAACATTAAAACAAAACAAAGGTTATTATGGGTCGAAACATTAAGACTGAACGAATATAAAATGACTTGGTCCAATAATACGCTTTTTACTTGGCATGAGCGGTCATATAGTTACCACCGGATGATGTGACTCTGAGCCATAACGATTTCTCAACTCTCCTTTTTGGGTAGTGTTTCGGTTAAATCGAATTCGGCGGCGCCAATAACTTGCCTTAGTGGGCTGACTGACAGGCCACGCTAACGGCCACAATATCACTGTTCAGTGATAATTATAGCATTTGTAAATCTTTGTTTATGTAGCTACCTGACGTGTGGCGTTCACTTTAGGATTTATCTAGCCCTTGTACACGTGGGCTGGGCTTCGGGCCATGCTCGGGCCCATTTGTCCTGTCGTCTTCAGAATACATGTATCCAGCTGCACTTATTGAAATCGTATACCGGTCAAGAAGTCTCGGGTCGTTATAGTACTAATTACGCTTTCATTTAACAATTACGCAACTGGGACTGTAGGGTTTTAGTTATATGGCCGTCCGATGTCCGGTGGTTACTTTGGTATTCGTTTTGCTCTTACGCGTTGACTGACCTCTGGGCCAGGCTAAGACTCAATACCCCCTCGTTCCCTTAATATACATGTATTCAGCTCAATTTAGTGAGAAACCCTGGAGAGTCACAGGGAGAATAAGAGCGAAAATGTATTTCAATTACAGTGCTTAAAGGGCTCGATATTCAACTTCGATACCGGTACATCTGCATTCAATGTTTTAATTAACTGCAAATCGTAGACAGAATAATTTCTTCAGAAAATAAAGATATGTCCCTTAAATTTAATCGGTATAAGTCAAAAATTCGTATCCTTGCAGAAATACTGTGTTGAAACTAATTCAATTCACGTGTTTCGAGAACCGGTAACTTTGGTCAGGTGTGCCCTTTTTTGATGTGCGCTGACTTTCCGCGGTGTTTCTTTCCCGATTGGTGGGATGTTCACACACACAAAGCTAATCATCACAACAAGTTGCCAAACGTTAGGATACCTTTTGGGAATGGCAGATCTCTGACTGCTGACTGGGGTCGTGTGGGGTCTTGCCAGTTAACACTGACGGATGAGGGTGTTTATGTACGTTCCTATTTCTTGTGCCTGTGGGCATGGCTTTTGGTGGGCTTTTTGCTCTGTTTGGTCGCTCATTTCGTATTTGTAGTACCTAGTATTTGGTGTGCACTTTTCAGTTGGGAATGTAGTCAGATTTGCTAGTTCATATTTTATCACTGTGGTCTGAATTTTTAATCTTATAACATGGTTATTAGAAACTTAATGAAAGTACATTTCGAAACTTATGGTACATGTAGGAAAGTAACTTCTTCGGCATTCTAGAGGTTCAGCGAGCGCATAGAAATCTAGTAGGTTCTGATGACTACTTGCCTGGATTTCGATACGATGGTTTTGGTGCAGTCGGTTTTTGGCATCCAGGTACAGCCCCAAATCTCTTGCGGATTGGTTGGCTCCTTGCATCATGTCAGATGCCCTGAACCCGTTTTACCTGTTCACTACCAACAAGACGAGAAGATGGTGAACTTACGGCCTTCTTCCTCCAAAGGCACCTTCAAGAATTTTGGCATTACACACCTCCTCGATGATCCTGTCTTTGGTGAACAGGCCTGTGCAGCCTATCTCTGTGCCAAATTTGTGCCACTTTTAAATCAGAATGCACCAATTTTATCCGACTCCAGAAGGAATAATGCCCTAAAGTTCTTGAAATCAATCGAGAAATCCACCTCAGAAGCTCTTTCTTCGGGCTGTCACTCTAGACCACTACACAATGCATTGCTAGGGTTCGTGAACACTGTCAAAGATCTGGCTGAAGATGTGTCGGAGATTGATGAGCTTTTTTCACAAAAGAAGCTACGACGACAACGTCTTAAAAAACAGCTTCCTTTGACTCCACCTCTGTGGTCCACGTTTGAAATTCCTTTCAATGAAGATCAGATCAAAGCTATTTCAAAATATCTTGGTTTTGATGGCAAGGCAAGCATAGGAATGCAACAGGAACTCTCCCAATTTTCTTATCTTTCTTGTGCAGTCGACCCCTTTCTTATTGCTCTGTCGGCGAGGCGAGTAAATTCACATTTTCTCGGTAGTGGCTGCCTTCGTGTGATTGGAGACATAAACCCTCTGATGCTATGGGCTCCGCCCTTTTCACCCAACTCTCCAGCTACACCTACTCCAAAGATATTCCTTGCCTCCTTTTCTGACACCACATCTTTTCCCCTATCAATGAATCAATGTGCGTCTTTCCGATTGCCAGATAAATATGTAGGGTCCTCCATCTGTGAGATTGATGCAGTTCCAGTGAGTCCCAAAATTTATCGCCAATGAAATTCACTAAATGCTGCATCTCGAACGCTGTAGCATGTAGTGTATCTTATTTAGTCTTTTTGCTTGTTAAACATAAGTTTGGAGAGATTGTAACCTTTAAGATACAAGATGACGTCACACCCACGTTGAAAAGACCAAATATATAAATAATTGCTTTTCAGTTAGGTGATTCGTCTCTCTACTTAATCGCCCGGAACACAAACAGTCAGATATTTGCGAGTAAGACGACACTCGGGCTTTCGGAATTGGAGACTTTGAGAGTTACCAAGTGTGAAAACATTGCCTTTGACTCAAGCACTGATTATTACAAGCCTTTTTCTTTGGCCATATGCCCTTGGCCCATACACTCAGACAGATCAAGCTTGAACTCACTCATATGGGCCCTTGGTGGCCGCGCCTATGATCCCGTAGCCTTCCCGAATGCACATTTGGCGGTCGTGGAACTCTTTGATGCCAAGTTAAATCAACGCCTATGGTGTGGTCGAATCCCACTGAGCGCTGAAGGTTATTATACTTTCAAATTCATTCTATCTGACATTTAGCCTCCATATAAAATGATTTTTTCGTTTCTAGGTGAATGCATAGCCCATGTGTTAGACAACTCAGTAAAAGCCTCAAGTCTGGACTTTGTAGACAAGTATTACGCGAAGTTTGAGGTAGCAAAGCGGACATACTCCAACTCCTTCCTCTACCGGAGTCTCCTTGACTACTGTCAGCAAGTTCAAGAGAAGCAGGAGGGAGGTTTTGTGTCACCAGAACAGCTGCTGCATCGTGCAGAACTTGACTTTAAACTGAGCCATGCTTCCATGTGGGTACGTGTGGGCTTTGCAGACTTTCCAGGTCTACTGTGCCTCACAACACCAAAACGACTTCTTTGTCTTGACACCCGCATCTCGGGCGCGCGTGCGGCTCAGGAATTGTTCAATATGACCACAGAAATGGCCAATTTGGACAAGGGTCGATTGTTCAATCCTTACGAGAGCATTTTCCACGCACAACCCCATTGGTATGAGGATACCTTCGCTTTTCTTGCAACTGACTATAGCGGCTTAATTCTGGACAAACGCATGCCTGGGCATCCGGTCCTACACTGGTCCCATGCCCTAAGAGGTCCTTTGGCTTACGCTCAAATCTGCGATATCGAAGACCAACCTGATGATTTTCCTGCGCAGGTAGGATTCATGATTCACAACCTAAGTCCTTGGATTTTTAAAGAGTCAGCTTGAAGTGAGCTTACATTTGGTTTACAGGCTGCACTCGTGATGGCCTCGCAGTTCCCTGGAGAACTCTCTGTTATGGGGATCAATTTTAACAGAGATGTTCCCATTCCACCAATTGCAGTTGGGCCCTGCATGACAAACGGTATTCTCACTGAAATTTTGGACTGTCCTCTCAACAACCTTCCTAGCGGCATATTAGATCCCCGTTTTTGTAGTGAACGGTTCACTACGAGCTTGGTGGGTCTGACTGCCTGCGTACTTCGAGAAAAAGGCGGTATCAAGTCAGTCGGGGTTCGTGGTCTCATGTTGACTTCCCGTGGTGACATATTCTGCGAGAATTGGTGCTTCTCCGAACAGAGGGCTGAAGAATTGCATCGAAGTCATGCAGATGAAGTACGCTCGTGGTGTCTGGGTTTCAACAGTTTTAACGACTCAAGATCATCTCCATTTAGAGTATCTTGTGTTATCAATGAACTATTAAATGACGAGGTCAGAATTGACCAAAAGTCGATGGAGACGACGTCAGAGCCTTTCATGATTGAAGACATTGTTTCTGAATCTAAGCGGGAATTCACAGATGCAACATATCCCAAAGAGCTCTATTCTGACTTATGTCAACTTCTCACGAGTGGATTTGTGTCGCCTTCGCTGTCTCAAAATCGCAGAGATGAGGAAACGAAGTACGACTTATTCCTGGACCAAGTTGTCGAAGAAGCTAAGAAGCTAAAGAAGTAGTCTTTCACTTGCGCGTCTATTAGTCGTTAATATTTTGCTGTACTATACTGTGTACTTGAACAAGATTATTCGCAGTATGTGCAAAATATATTTTTTTAAACGTGTTATATTTGCAGAGTACTGTCCTCAAGTCTCCTCTTCAGCGTCGTCTCGCACGAAAGGAATGCCTAAAGCCGAGATGTTACAAATTTGCTAATTATTTCCTCAGCCATTTACAAGTAACTGCTATATTTGTTTCCTCCTATTGGTTGGTTACTGATCAGCATCATGTAGTCTATTCATTCTGAGTGGCTCATACTCCCGTGTTTGCATTTTTAGTTTTACGGTTTCAGAATGGTGACCCATGCACGTTGGTTAAACAATTGGTTGTGATCCGCATAGGGTAGTGCATAGTCATTTGCTTATGGAGGATTTGTAAAGCCAAACCTGATAGCTTGCCTGCTATATTCATCAGTTTATTGAGTCAAGAGGCATTTGGTTAGGTGCGCCAACTCCACGCCTCTATAAGTGAACATCAATACTCACCATCTAGTTTCTTTATCTTGGGTAGTTTCTTCATAGCTTCATCCCTAAAGGTTTCTTGGTTGTGTTCCTCTAGTGGATTGCCTATGAAAGTTCTAGGATGCGCGAATTTTTAGTTACCAACGAAAACGAGGTCGGAAAGAGACGGCAGTTCGTTTAATTTGAGTAACTCCACCCAATCCTTGACCTTATTGTTCGACATGTAGAGCACACGTAATTTCTTCAAGGAACTGAGACCCTTAAGCTTTTCAATTAAATTGTAGGATATCCACAATTCTTCGAGAGTTTCCCCTAGCGGTTCCAGTCCGGATATATTTTTTATATTATTCCTGGCCAGAGATAGTACACGAAGGCGCTCTGACGTCAATTTGCTGTAGAAATTCTATCCTTACTTAGAGAATGCAAATTAGATATTTTTTCAATGGCATTTGATGAAAGTGACAGCAGTCTAAAGACTACATAACAAGATGTTGAAGTACTACTCGCATTTAGTCAGCACAGATAATCCTGCATCCATTTTTTCTATTGGTGGAAATTGAGCATAAAGCTTAACTTCTGTTGCTTCGCTAGCCTTTTGGTTCGTTCTTGCCTCCCAATTTGCAATTGCAGCTTTGATTGTTGTGGCTTTAGCCTAATAAGACCTTAAAAAATATTATGACCATGCAACCATTTTGCGAAAATCGCGGGTGTAAGTGACACCTTAACGGTATCCAAAACAAGGTCAACAAAACAAAACAAATATGACGTTCTTGCATCATTCGTGTCTGAGGAATTGAAGCATTTTGATTCATTAAATAATATTTATATTTGTTGGACACGGACAGAAGATAACGTGATTTAGTCCCACCTTGCACAATCCTCTTCGGATGTCTTCAGTGGGTTTAATGTCAAAAGCATTAGGAAGAGTAAAGTAATGGCAGTTTTGCAAACATAGGACCAACATGATATTTATGCATTCGCTCCGCATCCACCGTTAGGTAATATGATTTTCTAATTGAGACCAATCGCGTAGATATCGAGGTACGACCTAACTTGAAGATTTGAACTTTTTAGTGGAGTGGAGTATTATCTTATTCAGACCAAATGCCAATTACATTTGCATTGACTTGTTGCATCATCCCAAGGCTTACTCCGGGCAGAGGAGGGCATCGCGCAGGACAGAATACATGTATTCTAAGAGAGGGATAGAGCCTTGGCTTGGCCCGAAGGTCGGCCAACGCATAAAAGGAAAAAACAGATACCAAAGCACTACACCTGCCTTATCTATACAAATTAATTAACCTTGATCATTGTTGCTTTGCGATGAACAGGGAGTCCTAAATAGGTCACAGGATTGAAATAAATGCTCTCCTTACGGTGAAATCTTATATCGGTCTTCAGATTAGGTAGCTACTTGCCGGTCTCTGAACGTTTAGCACAAAGGGAGTGCAACTGTAGAGGTCTTCTCTGCTCGTTAAGTGTGCTCACTTATAGCCATAGGCGGTACCTTTGAGCTTGTTACTTTATCTTCTGGATCACCGAAAATGCGCTCTCTTCCCATGTCTTACCACTAATACTTTCATTCGATAAGTAAACCAGTACATGGAATTATGGTCGCGTAGGACTGCCTTACATTATATTTAACTTTCAGCTCGGAGATATTTCTGAAAATGCTACAATGTAGGTGGCTTAGGATAAAAATTGGTTGAAGTGGACTACTGATGAAGATGCCAAAAATGGTCTTTTAGCTTACAGCTTACATCAATTTGCATTCAAGCAGGTTCAATTCTTGTGTTTTTACTTTTGTAACTTGGTTAGATTGCGCTACAGTAAACTGCATTTATGACGCCGAAATAAACAAAGCTATTGTTAAGTGGTAATTTATGGTATATCCGCCAATTTATCAAGTTGATCGCTCCTCCTTCTTCTTAATGATTCCTCCAATGAAGTTAAAAATAGTCAAGTACAATATTTTATGCATTGAACCTAAGTATGCACCCTAAAGCAACCAAGTACAGCAGGAAACCCAACAAATAAAAGTGATGGAGTTGTTAAGCCGGATCAGCATTTCACCGAAGAGGTCCAGTAATTTAAATAACGTAGACTGTGAGCGGATGGTGTAATCTATCTTCCGGATAGATAAACTGGACACTATGCCATTTGCTTCCATCCCAGCGCTCCATTTGACACAGGATAAGTGGAAAGTTGAAGCGAGGTCCCAGAATCGCTCCTTTTGCATCGTAAACACGAGATCTGAACTCTTAACGTGCAGCGTCATAAAAAAATATTAACTCTTCAAATTGATTTCTAATAAGTGAAAACTATGTTGCTCACATGCAACAGTTTTCTGTAAAAAGCAGTAAAAGGCTATTAAGGCTACTTCAAAAAATATCTTGTTTTAGCTACAACAGGATAATCCCACTGATTTAAAAGTACAGCAACAGCTCAACACGGAGCTGAGTAGTGAAGTGAGTAGTGAGTGAAATTGGTGCACTGAACGCTTATTGACAATTCGAGGCGTGGAACATAGGGACAAAGCGCAAATTAAATACATCCATAGTCATGGAAGCACTTTAGCTATGCTCGAGGCGTTCGTGAATTAGGACTCCTTGGCCGCCTTTATTACTAATGAAGAATTTGGCAAATGATGTATGTATCCAAACCGTAGCTATGGTGGTATGGAGAGATGGCAAAGCACCAGAGATAAAACGATTTATCAAACAATAAAGGGAGAAGAAGGACCAAACGCATAAAATATGTAGCGTTTATTGTTAGCAACCCGCAATGGACCCGACGAATGCGCAATTACTGAGTCTTTTATTTTGTAAGTAGCAGTGGACCTGCGTTTATTTCAAACTTTTCATCCTACTTTGTAAACCAAAACATTTAAAGGGATTACAAGCATAGAAACCGCACTAAAATTACTGATTGGAGAGCTAACAGAATGGTTAGAGGAGGGAATCGGAATAAAGTAATGAGTACGAGCGATTATAATCCATGGAAAGGGTTCATTTCGCAATCTTCACTTCTACTGAGGTACAGTAAGTGGAAAACTTTAAGCAAATAATCATTTTCGTCGTTTACTCTGCCGAATGATGTAATATGTACAAGTGCATAAAATTCGCAATGGGAAGAAGTGTGGAGAAGTTAGGCGATGACAGTCATGTCCGTGCGCCACACCTTGCAGCCGTCGACAGCGTAAGCTAGGGCAATGAGAAGAAGGCCGCAAAGGATTATGGCAAGGGGCCAGAAGAGAGAATGAAAGAGGAGGGTGTCGGGGTAGAGGCGGTGCATTAGAGCTGCAGCGCTCAGCTCGCCCCGCGTTGGTGGTGGCAGGTGAAGGAGTCGGCGTGAGACAGCCGCCTCTGCCTCTGAGAGGTTCGCACCCTCTCGCAGCCACTCGATTGTCAGCAGTGGGAGAAATGTGGATTCGCTTGCAGTCGGCAGAATGTGAAAGCTGTCTAGATCGGAACCAATCTCAAGTTCCTCCTCACTTTCAGATTCCGGTGATCCCGTTGTATCCACCGCCATTGGCAACGAGTTTAAGCGACGTCGCCAATTTTGCATTTCCTTTAGAGTGAACTCTACCCGCATAGGAAGTGCGTAGCAGGGCATCAGCCCAATTGCGTGGAGCTCTCGCAAGTATTGGTCCACGGTTTCCGCATTGTCTGCTTCTCGACGATTGCAAGGGCTTGTGGAACACTGAAGTGTTACAAATACAGACATCAAACTGTCAGAAATGTTTCCCGCCTGTGAAACAAGCACTGAAATAAAAATGGTACGAGTAGACCAATTGGGTTGAAATTTTTGTGTCGACAAACTGGAATTCACTGCCCATTCGTTCAAACCACCCACCTCGGTGTAGGCCAGAGAGAAAAGTCATAGAAATACGCAAAGCGCGCCTGCTATGTTTAAAAAACATGCATGCGGTTACCGTATTGCTAATACTTGACTTGTAACTGGAGCCTGCCTGCCTGCCAATGTAGCTGTCTCTACATACACACACGTAAATCCAAGCTACCAGATCCCATAAACAATTGATGATCGGAAGAAATGAGACTGAATGCCTGTGAATTGCGTGACTTCGCATCCAACATTGTGCACTTTTGAATGTTAGCCCTGGGACTCTATAATTGCAGCCTTGATTTGTGCCCTTCACTGTCCTCGCTACAGCTTTGAAATTCAGGCAATCGACGGCACAATAGAATCTCTGTTTGTAGGGAATTGTGCCCTTTTATACACTTAACATTCGTGAACAATTTTATGGAGAGGTAATGAGTATGTGGAAGAACCACTTTTCACAAGGATCTTTTAGTTTTTGGCTTTAAAGACAATCGTTAGTGAGCGCAGTTGGACGACATATTCTGCGTAGGGGGATAATGGGATAGTCCGCACTTGAAGGCCAAAGTAGACAGGTTAGACGACTCACATTCCTTCTATAAGTCTGTGATACGTCCACGCCATGCACTCTGACTGTCGTGATTGATAAGAGTCATGACACTTAAATTGAATACACTCTATGTGGCAGCGGATGCCAAAGCAATTATAAAAATTATGGTAGTGAAAGTGCCTATGATAGAAATACCTCTTTTGATAGGGAGAGAGGAGGGGAGGAGAATGCTAAAATGGAAGAGCAACAATACAGAGTGCACAAAAATTAACGCATGGAATTTAGCCCTTTGTTTGGGTAGCTAATGTTGATTCCAGTTGCTCTGTCAACCACAGTATGCGGCGTCGCTCCGCAGCGTCCTCTGATCCAAATTGTCCACCTTTTCGTAGAAAAGGCGATCACTCCACCAACTGATGATACAAGAGCATTGACCTGTGCACAAAATCAGGCACACTAATGAGCGTTTCCTTGAGATTCAAGCTGTAGGCAGGAGCATATGGCTGTTGAATGGTCCTAACTACTAACGTTAATTGACTGTGAACAATGCGTAGATTACACATTCTCTCTTAATTTATTCCAGCAGTAAGCCCAATTCGATCGCTCATACCCACTAGTGAGGCGGCAGGTTCATTCCCATATACCACATCGGGCAAAAAGGGAAACTTTGAGTTGGTTTTAATGCAAAATGAACTTTAAAATTAACCCCTATGTCAAAGTAACCTAAACTTTGCATACCTGAGAATGTAATCCTGAAATCAGGTTTATAAAAACAATCTTTCGCATTTACGAGAAGTAATTGATTGAAAAAAAGAAAAATGCTAAGGGTATGAATTATGCCTGTCAATACAAATTTTGAGCTAGAGATACAATGATATTAATTTTAGGCACTTTGCACACAGAGGCACAACCCTTTTGCCGTCTTCAAATTTCCGCCAAACTGAGAAGTAATACAAAAAGTGTGCCCCAAAAGGTGCATCAACTGAACGACAGACTTACTCTGTCAGCCTTGTAGGCAGCGTAGGTGCTGAAGTAATCATAAAGGTGGAGCAGTCGAGCCTCTCTCACCTCGAGGTATTGCCTGACGGCGGGATTCCGATACCGAATGGCCCTGATGACGGCAGGAATATGGTCCTCCTGGACTCGAGGAGCTGGAATGTAGATGACTTGGACGTTTGCGCAGGGGAAGGCAGAACGATCCTTGGAGCACTTGTTTTCGCACTTAACTCGCTTTCCAGTGGCAGTGTAGTAAAGGAAGCAGACGCCCGACTCAAAGACCGACTCGGAGATGTAGGGAGTGATGACAAGGTGTGCAAGAATGCATTCAATAATGACGCTAGCTGACACTAGCGTCGCACAAGCTAGGTAGACAAACTTGAGACAAGTGCCAGAGCAATACTTCTTGCGTAGTCGCGAAAAAGTCTTGTGGCATGGAGTATGGTGGTGCTGAGGCTGCTGTTGCGGCTTCTCCATGGAGGGACTGTCCCTCAGTCTACCTTCAGTACGACCCATTTGAGTGTGTGTGGAGTGGTGCTGATGCTGCTGCTGCTTTGCAGGCTTGCTTTTCGGGTCGTGGGCGTGAGCAGCATACGAAAGCTGATAGGCCGGTCGATAGGCCGGCGGATTCCCATTGGAGGAAGAGGGAGGACAGGCTGGGATGCGTACATTGGTCAAGCAAAAGCGCAGTTCTTGGCAAATTTCAGTTTTTGTGTGAGAACATAAGCAATTTATATTGAGGTCACACCTTATCTGCACATTTCCGGACGAAATGACAGCGCTTAACATCTATAGGTGTCGATTTAAATGTTGAAGGGCAACATAAAGTTGGCGGTATCATCAGGATTTCCATAGTAAAAAAAGTCTAGCAAATCTCAAGACGCAGCTGTAAATAGGAAATACAATTGATCATTTCAAAATCACAGTTGAATAATATGGGGTTAGTAACCAAGCTGAGTCAAATAAGAACAAAGCGGAGGAAGAAGCATACAGTAGGTGCTGAAAATGAGGAACATAGACAGCGACAACGAAGAGTCAAGTAAATAAATGCAACCAATTTTAAAAGCAGCACACGTGCGTTTGTGATAGACCGAAAATTAACTTAATTGCCTCCAATGCAGTAAGTGACTAGTAAAAGTTGTGAACTACAAGCATCTCAACCTGTAGACCATGTCAAACATCTGCCCCCCTAACTACCGAATTGACGATGCCATTGAGGAATAAGGTTTTTGTCAGATGGAGACGATATCACACCCCCACTTTATTGAGATTATTTCGACGAACCCTATTGAGGGTGAGCAAAGCCAGCGTGGAATAACCTTTTCCATTGGGTGGAGCATGAAAGCTGGTAGGCCTATCATGACACAGCAATCAATGCAGTTGTAGATCCAACTACTTCGTCTGTGCTCCATACCGCCAGATCCATTATGCCATGCGCAATGACTTCTCCACACGACAATATAAAGTCGATGTCTTTGAATAATAATCCAGTTCGAGAGGCGACGAGGTAAAGGCGGTACCCAGTAAATCATGACGCACATATTCGGACCACGATATGAGCCAATTTGCATTCAATCTAGCTCAAAAGATCATCATTTAAAAACCCTTAAATTAATATTCAAATGAAATTCTGTGGCTCACAAGCTAAGTTAAGAGTGCCTTAATTGTGAACATGAGAATCGAATCTCAACCAGTCCGAGGATGAGGCCGACGTAATCGGAGCGTTTCTAAAACATTAAACAACTAAGTCAGGTACTGCCAAATCCTTCACAGGATTAAGCATGTGCTTAAAAGCACCACATATTAACATGCTATGGACTTCCCACTGTAGAAACACGCTTGACCCAAAACATCCGGTAGAAAAGAAGGTACCTGCTTGCACAGGAATATTACGGATATAAAAATACACTATGAAGCATTCATTTGAATAAAAAAAGAAACTTCGAGTAAGCACTCGATCTCTGATGGGGAAGTGAACAAGACAGCGACATAACCATGCGTGTGTGCGCGCGGAATAGCAAGAAAAATAAGCAGGAGAGGCATGCACAGCGGAGTGTGTACAGGGGACTGGGTTTAAGCAGTGGGTCTCAAGTTCGATTGAGGTACGCCCGCGTAGAAGATTGCATCTAGCTGGCTTGTCTGGCCTCAGTTGATTTCAATATCGATGTGCTTTATGTCAGGAAATTCTTTCTGTAAGGGAAGAGAAAAGGAATCATCGCGTGATGAAACGGTAACTACGCGCTCACTTTTTCAGCACAAATCGTAAGACAATAATTTTGACAAAAAGAATTATTGGTTTCTTCATGGAAAGACAGTACGGGCTGCATAAAGATTGTTGGCTTAAATGTTTGTGTGAATTTAAAGGCGACCATTGTTCACGCCAACGAATTGGTTCAACTTTGTGTCGACACATGCTTGAAATAAAACCAACACAACCGCAGCCATAGATCAGCAGTCACAGCGAGTCACCACAAATCGAGTTTGGGTTTCGTTAGCTGTTTTCCAAAGGCATCAATAATGCTCCACAATAGACGGTTAAAATAAAGGAAAGCGACGGCCGTGTACGCTTAACATAAGAGGCATAGCAAAATACAAGAATATTAATTAGAACTCAATAATGATTAGTCGAAAGCACGGACAATTTCCACGTATGCGCCATGATCCATGGAAGTGTAGTTAATCGCCTCAGCTGCAAAGCCACTTGTACGCGCGAACATCAAAAATGATAGGGAACTTGGAATTTGTTAGTAAATATACCTTTAGACTATCCTCAATTTGGTTCACTTCCGCACCGAGAGTATTTACCAGTTGGTCTCCATGGTCCAGCATGAAATGTATCATCTGTTCCTCCGTTTTAATGGCTTGAATTTCCTGATGAATAAATTAAACAACACAAAAGTTTATTTGGATCTAACCGGCAGTGAAAGTCGCAGCGAATAAGGTGACAAAACTACTGTGCTCATCTGTTTTTGCCGAGAAATCGCACTTAGGCGGAATTGGCAAATAAAAATGATCAATGCCTACAGAAAAACGTACAAATATTTCACGAACTAGTGAGGGTTAGATCATCGGGGATTTTTATATCTTAGATATTAACCTTTCCTACAAATCGCTACATCATTTCAACGAGATAAAGCCAAAATTATTAACATAAAAAGCAATAAAACGACTAATCGTACTTACTGCCAAAAGCGTACTCAGCGGCAAGGTTTCAAGGTACCTACGAGTCAACTCGCGACCATCAATGTCAACCTCGGCCTTTAGCCGGACAGCGTTGCCTCCGCCCATCAACATTGCTTTGGTGTCGTAAGTGCCCCGAATGATCTTCGCATTATCAATGAAACGCATAATTCTCTCCTGCTTTTCCAGTGATATGGATCTGGAGAAAGATATGTACACGCCTACTCTATGTCCATAAGTAAAACGCTTTATAAAGGAGCACGATTCCACGGATTACTGATGGGAAACAATGGAAAGTGACAGATATTTTAATGTAAACAAACGGTAACTAAAGTAGATGGAAAAAGAAAAATAAGTGTTAAACATTCTGCTACAATAGAACCGCAAATTCATCGCTAACACGAACCAGCAACTCAATTTTGAACGATGATAGAATCATCCACATCACTGCAAAAATTGACTCAAAATGGTGTTAAGATAAAGTAAAAATCCATGCGATTCACCCAACTCGCAAAAAGTGTTCACGAACTACGCTCCACAAAAAATAATATTAATCAAATAAGCAGAAGGTTCAGTTCAAAATGAGAAAGGGAACTCATTTCCCTACATACAAAAGACAGCAAACTAGTGCCTCGGTGCACATACCGTGGGGAACGGAGATGGGAATCAAAACAACCGCAGAGCCGAACTCAAAAAAAAATACATTGCAGGTAGGCGGTTAGTGCCTAACAAGCCCAGTAACACAAACGAAACAGTTTAGATCAACAAATATCAATATCAATGGTTTCGCTGCATGCCGATACAACAATCGACATCAATACTAAGGTAACCAATTATACTGAAGATGTGTGAATCCAAGGCACTGATATATCCATTGGATAGTTGGAACTTGTAAAAAAATGGTTTCATAACACTGTATCCTTGTCTGGCAATATTTGCAACACAGAGAGGATTGACGAGTACCTCGAGATTCCTCTCGAACGCTTCACTGTAAGTGACGACGCACGCTCACTTTTCGCGCAAATACCTGAGGTCAAGATGGAGAATGTATTAGCACAGACGCAAGATCAGGAAACCATTCACACCCCTAGAATGGTAACAAATACTCGAGTAGGGCAGTCCACATAAGACAATCAATACATTCATATCTGAGAAATTTTCCACCGCAGTCACTAGACTAGTTTGAATAATTTTGCCTATTCTCAAAGTTCTAAGGGATACTTTTAGCAAGAGGCTACCTTCTGCAGCTTTGGAACAGAGGGCCTCGAAATATATCCACGGAGTACAGCGACTCCTTCGCATTATAAAGCGAAAAAAGATAAAATAAAAGGGCGTATTGCACGTCCTCGCAGGGATTTATCCTAGCACTTGACGCTCCTTGTGGGTCTTTGACTTTCCAGCGTGGAACCGATGGCAATGCATTACATTCTGAATATTGTTTAAAACAAGGTTACCAAAGTGCAAGGCAGCATCGATACTGCCGCCAAAAAATCGACTTTCACATCAACATTGAGAAAAAACCTAGCTCACCACACTACCAACGAACTTTCCGTATCTTCGGCATTAATAGAGCTGTTGAAACATAGGACTCATTTCTCTTACGTCGGCAGCAATTTAAGTAACCCAGGATCTCGGTTTGCACATAAAATCAGAAAAAAAAAGTATGGCTTGACATAGGTTTAAAGAGATCGATTTACGCCCCATGAAATAAGGAGAAAAGAACATGAGACGAGTCTACAGAGACGAAAAACAAATTATAAGTTGATTGATGGCCAAAGAGCAGAAATGAAATGAGCTTACTTGCCGAGGAGGATGTCAGCATTTGTACGAACGATGAAACCAGCGACGATAGCCAGGATTCCGCTAATAGCAATACCTCCAAGGGTGTCGGGCCAAGCAGTGCCAGTGAGAAACGAAGCGGAGAGAGCAGCACCAGCGACAAGTACGCCCAGCACAGCAGCAGAGTCCTCAAGGAGGACCACTGCAGTGCTCGGATCAGCAGTACCAGAGAGGAGATAGGCTCGTATTGATTCAAATCCATTCTCCTTTGTCTTCAGCTTTACTTCCTTGTAAGCCACCAAGAGAGTCGAGCCTTCCGTTACGAGGGAACCCAGTGCTACTCCAATTGCGCCGTACATCGAGGTATACTCCAACCCCAGCGGCATCACTATGCCCTGCAACGCGTGGTAAAAAGTGAAACCCGAACCGAGAAAAAATATCCCTACTCCACTTATCAGAGATGAGATGCACCGCATCCGCGAGTAACCGTAGCTACAAAAAAATGCAGGGGAAAATGAACTAGAATGGTATCGGTCCAATCTGATTTAGTTACTCATATGAGCCGAAAGAGTGAACATGCGACTACGACATGAACATTAATCACATACAGGCAAACTTGTCAGACACTCCCACAACCAACAAGTGATGTCTCTGTTATTGCCATAGGTACACGTTCTAGGGTGTGCATGAACCACGCATCACTTAAACCACGGTACTATAGTAAAGTATGATAAATTTGGGTAAAATGAATGGAAACTGCTTACGGATGATCCAGGTCGGGCTGCTGAAGAGAAGAGCGAAGCCCGTAGGCAAGAACAACCTGCGGAAGCCACACAACGGAGTAAGCAGAAATCTAATCTGACTTAATGTACATTCACTATAAGCACAAAAATCAAACAATACACTTTCTACCATCAATAAAATAAACAGGACATTTCTTTCTAAAAGCAATCATGAGAATCTATGATAGTAAATGGTCGATCCACATCCCACTAACCAAGCAGAACGTATGTATTAACCTGATTAAGTGTATCGGCTACCGAATGCATCATTTCGGAGAACATGCTCTTTGAGCCGGTGTACCACCATGCCAACCCCTTGGCCACAACATTGAGTCCATTTCTAAATCAAGAGGAAAAAGCTACCATCGTTATCAATGGCCTGACTAAAAGTTGCTTGCATAAGATGTTAAATCATTTCTTTCCCAGAAATATCAACTAATTATGCAACCAAAGACAGGAACTCACACAATTATGGCCATCAATACGACCTTTCCTGGACCGGCTCTCCACGAATGATTCATCACCATGTTAGACTACAAAAACGAATTGTAGAAATTGTGGCACAGACTAGACCTCATCAAATAACTAGAAGCTGGTGCAAGAGTGAAAGCTGAAATGAAATAAGCAATTACAGTGAACATTACACCACCTATTCTACACTTAATTTCGTCATATGTGTACTGTAGCATAATTATGTAACGATCGCAATAGTTTAGCGATTCGAATAGGAGTAACCTACGTTTTGAGTGCTGGATTCTGATTTGTAAGACTGAGCCACATCTTTGTTTAGTCGTCTGCGAGCAAACCTTTCTAGAACCACTTTTTGCTCCAAAACGAACTACCTACCTATTGTAGCCTTCCTTTCCAAATCCTTTACCAGATTTCTACGTTTTTCAAAGGCTTCTTGACCGCCATGCTTTTCCAGCGCCCTAGAAAAAAGCATTACACAGGCACTGAGCATACAATTTTTCGACATCGGACCGAAGAAACACTTGCGTCCGAACCTCGTTTGAATAAGGACTGCGACTATAATATCTGGGAAGCTTGTCTAAATCTCTGAAGGAAAAGGATAACAGTCAAGCACAACTAACGCTGTAGAAAGCATGTACTCGCTAACGGCTCTCAGCGGTGTCAAATACTTGATTGACTTAACCGAATCGTCATACTTAAGTGGCGTCCTAATCTTTGGAATAACTGCGAAAACAACTTAGGAGGCATCGAAGATGTACCTTCGGGGTCTAAAGGCCTTGACCCACTAGGCAGATGGGGACCGTGTGTCAGGTGGAAAGGGGCGATGCTCAAAAAGTTGTTGAATACTAAAGTTCCGAATAACTCGAATACTTCTATTACTTCTATCGTTCAACAGTTGGGGTCGACATGACAGCAGGATGCAACGAGCACAAGCATGCATCGCCACCGACACCAGACCCACAAACTACATGCAACAGAAGGGCACCAATTCCCAACGAGCGCTTCGTACAACCATCTTAATTGGTTCGGTATAACAAGTAAACGGAGAAAGCAGACCTTGATTATAACATTACAACATTTTTAATGTTAATATAATTGTCACTCTATTGTGGATTGAAATGCTCTTATTACCGAAAGAGCACAACTGCAGGACCGGTCAATGCTACAACCAAATTTTCAAAATTTGACACCTTCGAATTGCACCGACCTAGTCAACAACACCCAACATTATCAAACCTTAGCCACTATCTCTATGTCCTGCCGCACGCCAGCCAGCGGATTTTGACACACGACCTTAGACCCCGTCCGATGTCAACAGAACCTAGCTTAGCTCAAAGACGTACTGCAAACGTACACAGTAGCTGGTAGTCTGTACCCACGGCACGAAGTCTGCGATGCTCACACAGCTTAAGAGAACGTTGGGAAGGTTCACCCAGAATCCAACTTAGTAAAGCACAATCTACAACGAATACCAAGTGCAAGCTCCATACCTTAGTGCGTTCGTGGTGCCAAATGACCATATATACGGAAAATTCGCTTGAGAATATTTTTCAATGAAAGGCAGTTAATATGTATACAAGGAAGCAACTACAATGTACGCAAATAATCATTGAACAGATCCTCTTTGCCTTTGGCGAATCGCAAACAGAATTCACCATCAGTACCCTCAACAATGGCATCCAGCGGTGTGTAGAGGGGCCTGCGTAGAGATAGTTGATGAAACTCATAGTTGATGAACTCCTAAGCAAATAAAACTCGAGTACTTTTGGCAGTGATATGAGGAATTCAACAGGAACAAAAAAAATAAAAATCACAAATCGCGTTCGTTAATCTTCAGAATAAATATTGAAGACAGAGCCGCGATTACAAAATCTCAATGGCCCACAATCAAGTCAGGATATTTTTACATGCATTAAATAACATGGTTCCTGTATAGAGGATTCAAAAATAGGAACCAAGTAGTAGAATAACCTTACTTCTTGCATGTGCGACTAGGTATTAAAACTGTTTAAACCACAAATATTCAATTATAATGTCGAGTAACCCACTGTGCTCCATCAGGTTGGAAGCGGTGGCAGAGCTTCAGAAAGTTGGTGCGTTCCTCGAGGATTCGCGGGGGTGCACAGAGCGCGCGAGGACAGAGAGCAATCTGGTCGAAGGAAAGATTGAGACGTCGGTGCAGGTGAAAAGCATTGGTGGAGATGACCCGGTTACCTGGATATGAGCATAAGTGCCAGGACACTTGAAAATACTGGAAATTCATTCAGTTTCAACCACGAATACATTTATGCGTGCGTCGTGGAGACACTTTAGCGCGATAGAAATGGGCTTTAAGAAAAAGACTATGCCACCCCCTATTTGAAAGTGATCAATAAACAATGAAATCAAAAAGTATTGAAAGTTTGGTGAGAGATTCACCTCTGTACAAGCGTGAGAAGGCTATAAAATAGAGCTTTGAGCTTCGGCGCGGTGCATGAAGAAACCGTGTTATTCAACCCAAAATGTATGTTAATGATACTCGTAGAAAATGTGCAGGGCAAAAATAGCGGGTAACATCAGAACATCCGCTAAAGTAACCAAGGCTTACTTGAAAGGACTAGTCTCGGAAATGCAACGATCATTTGGCGGGCAGAGGCCACCGAAAAATCCATCATCTTTGTAAGAACGACAAAAATATCCTGCAACAAACGTAATGCCATTTGAGATGAGCAGCAGCAACGCTGGATGGTGGATAGGCCTAAGCTAACTGATACACCAAAACACGGTTCTACATATCGAGTGACGGATAGTCAAACCAAAATTGCATTTGTTGTGAGCGTTAGTATGGAAACAAAATCTTCCAGTCAGTGCCAAATTTTGCAATAATTAAGAGCGTAGAAGGATACTTGGCGGTTACATAACAGCGTTGATATGCATAGATAAAAAGCACGCTGTAAGATTGTCATATCGGAATTTAATTGAGAAAAAAGAAAGGAAAACACAAAAGATGAGATCTTGCCTTTATCAATTGTACCGGTTGTACAATACATTTAGGTGCTTCGCTTGCAATATGCCGGACTTCGTGAGCTGAAGGAAAAATTTTTGATTAAGATCAAGAAGTGGAAAGGGATCAGAATGTAGTATCATAACAGCATAATTGCAACTACATATAACTATGCTTAGTATTAAAACTAGGGGTTACCTTTAAGAGCAAATATCGTCATAAGTGTTCCCAATTGCCTATCCACTTCGCAACTTCTTAAAGCCACTATCGTTGGCTGGCTGGATACCATGCGAATAACGTCACTTGAGCTAAATTCTCGTTCTATGAAGTACCTCAAACGGGATTCAATTTCTTCAACTGGTAACTGATAAAAAAGCTCCTATAAGGCTTCAGAAGCGAAATCGACAAGTCGGTAACTCAGCGTAACAATGAAAATCTGCCATTAAAGCCACACCTTTATGATTGGTTTGGGGGCGCAAGTCATGATACGAGACAAATGAGGTAGCTCAAATCCGAAACTGTTGAGATACCAAAGTTTAGGAGCGATGGTGGCATTGAAGTCAGTCTTGACTACAAGATTGGCTACCCCAGGTTCCGACTCCATTCGCGAAAGGTCTGCACCAAGTTCAACTAGTTTCCGAAGGCATTCATTACTAGATTTAATGCAAAACTATAAAGTACCTACGCAAATTCAAGCATGTGACGATCAATTTAAGGAACAATGCTGGTATATTTCTCAAATGCATACATGCGATTCTTCGTAAACCTTAGCTTCCAGTTCCAACTTTACTACGGCTTTCCAAATAACCAACTAGAACATATGGCGTAACGTTAGTACAAATTCTAGTGTCATTAACGATAATGACTAAAAGCACTGAAGCGCAAGCAAAAATATTAGCCTCAAATATAGAATGGAAAAAAGGTGAGCACATAAGGTGATCAATGTAAGAAGGGGAATCCTATCACTTACTGTGGAACAAGAGCTGCAAGGTTGCGGGCCTCAGATAAACGAGGATAGTGGTGATCTATATCTAGCTTCGTAATCCAGTTTTCCAAAACAGATACGGAATCCTTAACTCCCAAATTATGACAATATTGGGAAGGGTCGGGGCTGTTAAGCCCAACATCTGTCTTTGAAGGAAAGGTGCTAGGTTTAGTGAGTGATTGTAAAAAGGTCGTGGACTCAAAACGAATGCCATTCTGGGCGGTAAATTCAGCCACGCGACTAAATACTGTGGGCAAAAAATATCCGAATACGCGCGAACTGGAAGAGGTCAACATGCAGATTGAATCTGAAAATGTCAAAAATCAGCACTGACTTTAGAGTAACTACGTCCTGGTAACAGAATGACTTTCATAAATGTGTAACGGCGATGCGTTACAACAATACGACATCTATTAAACTTGGCAAATATTCAGAGAGATCGTAAGGATACAAGAAGCACGTTCTTCAAGCTCTAATGGGTTACATTATTCAAAGAACATCCACAATGCACACCCGCAAGCTGGCTTAGCCACTAAATTTTAAAATATGACAATGACTCAAAGCAAATTATAACGTTCCGCAAGGTAGTCATGGGAGTAGAATTACATTATGGTGGCTGATAATAAAGTGTTGTGAGTATCACTATTTGTAATTGTGAGTAGTGCCTTGAAACGGCACCTTGATAGCGAACAACTGTCAGGGGGGCTTGCAGAAATCTCACCATCATCGATTGTAATTTCCGCCTACATGGATTACTAATATTATGTAAGTGTAATTTAATCATTCTGTTTTCCATCGTTAATAATGTTTGCTATGGTACCTTTTGTGGCGTCCCGAGGCTTCCAATAGGGTAAAATAAGGCATAAGTGAGGTTGAATACATGTATTCCGAAGACCACAGGGCAAATGGAGCCTAAGCGTGGCCCGCAGGCCAGCCCACGTGTACAAGAGCGAGACAAATCCTAAAGTGACCACCAGACGTCAGATAGTCACATAAACAAATCATTACACTGCCCCTCTTCTTCTGAGCGACGTCCTCGGCGCTCCCCTTCGGTACACCTCCCGTGCCAGCCATCACAAGACTGAGAAATCGTACTTGGTCTCCTCGGTAGCTTCAACTGCATATGGAGTTACGCTCGGTCTGACAACCAGATTCGGGGCCACCTACACCTGTTGACCATCAATTGCTTCCAGGACTAGATGGTGGAACTCTGGCCTAAAACATATATGTTACAGGGGAAACGGGATGAGTCACTGTCCCACATGTAAGGAGAACCGTAGTGTCATTTCCGACACCTAAACGCGGATTTTGTAAGAGGAATTCCGACACGAAACCTTTCCAGATGGTTCACGGCAGTGTCGCTTCAGTTGTTAATGGCTTGTCTGTGGAACACGGGAATAAGGTGAAATCCAATGCAGACATCAGTCCGAATCCTTTCGTTGTGAAGGATTCAGGGATTCGACGTCACAAGATAAATGCGCCTCCTTCAATTCACGTCCCCTTTTCGCCTGTATCTTCACCTATTGCACTTCGTTAGAGTCAGACCTCCTTCTGCGTATGCAAGGCTTCTGACTGCCGGTGCACAACGCCAAAATTCGCTTATTGATCTTGGATTTCCCCACTAAAATGTAAAATTCCTTTGCAATCTTGTCTGCTGGTTGGATTGTAACCTTCTTGTCGTGAAAAGAGAGGTTTCGACTTTCTGGCCAAGGGAATCCGATTTTTGAGTATCTGCATGCATTAAACCAATGCATCATCCGATGGAACCGTTGCTCGCCAGCTTGTTCTTACTGCTCTTTTCCGGAAATCAGTCGATTAGGTGGCAAAGTTTAGCAACATTAACGTAGGATGCCAGTAAGGCAGAGGTGTCTGTTGGGCAATAGATTGTCCCTCCCATTGTCGCTTTTAACAAACGACCAACGAAGAACAAGCCGCAGAGAGAGACCCCGCCTTGGCTAAGTCGTTGAAAATGTCGAGTTCTCTTTCCGCTGCCATCAATGTAGCATCCCGAGACTTCCTAGCTGGTATAAGAAGTCAGTAAGTACAGGTGGACACATGTATTCGAAGACGACAGAGCAAATGGGCCTGAGCATGGCCCGAAGTCCAGCCCACGTGTACCAAGGCCAGACAAATCCTAAAGTAACCGCCAAACGTCATTGGGTCACATAATCAAAGTATTGCACTTTTATCCTAGTATCCACCGTTTATAGCATGTATCACCGATGCGAAGGAATCGCGAATACTTGGAACGGAGGAATGTCTGAGCTCCTCACAACAGAAGAATAAAAATAATGACCGCTTTGGCTCCACTTTGTCCTTGTATATCAAAAACAACACGTTAACAAACTGGGACACTACCACCGCGAACTAGCTCAAAAATTTCGTGTTGGACTGCTCTGTGCTACATCAGTGTATGTTGATGACACTATTGAGGATTTCCTTACATGCGGGACTGTGTTTGATCCCGTCCTGGCTGTTCAACGCCTGGACAGCCATCGACGGTCACCAGGTATATGCAACTCTGATTTCTGCTCTCAAACGGATTTAGTTGAAGCTGCTGGAAAGGCCAAGTGCTACTCCCATTCTCATGATAGTCGATGACTGGCACAATTGGTTCGTAGATCTTTACTTGTGGCACCGGACACGTTATGATAGCTGGCACGAGAGGTTATCAAGGTAAGAGCTGAGGATATCGCTCACATAGAGAGCGGGGCAGAGTACCACTTTCCATGTGTTACCACCTGATGTCTAGCGCTCACTTTGGCTGCTCTTCGAACCAACCTAATCAATTCTTCCCCTAGAATTCACGAATTCAGCCTAACTAAGAAGTCACTAACATTGGAAACGATATTACTTATAAACCACATGGAAAAGTTTCATGTCATATCCACATAAAGCCCGCCAATGCAAACATCAGCGAATTCTATCCTATGGAGTTTTTTTTCAATTCCGTCCCTGCATTTTACGACCCTTCCCTTATACTAGTGTTTTGGAGGCTAGCTATGGATGCGTGTAGTGATCAGTAGAATTTCCACCCCGGGGATCTAATTATTAAACTAGTAAAACCTACAGAACCCTAACTTCGCATATGTTTGACAATTGGGATGTTCGACTCTTGTACGTTTTCTCGTGCCGATAGTCACGTGGAGACTTATGCAGGAGGCAAGTTAGAGAAGGAGAGTTGACATGTTGGGCGTTTGATTAAATTCCGCTGAGTAAAGTATCTTGGCCCACACCAATAGTACCCATCTCTCCTGTATAATGAATGCGCATGACACTTTGATAAGGTATGATGCCACCGTTTGTCTTTCGAAACAGAAACGCCAGAACAACCTCTAAAACCAGTCATTGTTTGCGTGATTTGGACCAGCATTATTGCCGATTACGTGCAGCTCTCTAAGGCCTCTATGATAGAAGACATTATGCTAGGACGAACGACATGCATTCGCTTTACAGGGTTCGATGCTTTGGTATTATCCAAAAGGGCAATCCATCCAGCTTATCTATAACAGCCAATGGTGAAAAATAATGGAAAACGTGCCAGAACCCATAATAAGCTGAATCAGCATGAAAGAACACATGTATAGACGTCTCCCATTGGCTATGCATTGCTCATGTATCTAGACGCACAACTAAAACTACCAAATCACCACAATATCCCTTCCATTTTCCTCGCATCTAAAAAACTCCGCTGTATCCGAAGATCTAATTCATTCACAAGTTGGAGTGGAAGAGGGGACACTTGAAAATTTTATGCTGTTTAAGCCGATTCGAATAAATCTCCTTGCTCCCTCCTTTAGACTACGAGTCTGTCTACCTGTCTACTTATCGGTTTCATTCAGCTAGCAAGAAATTTGGGGACGCCACTCGTTCATAAACCTCTTGAATATCTATCACCAACTTAGTTTTGCCAGCACTCAATCCGATCAAGCAGATATAGTTTGACAATAGTACTCTTGCAGAACATGGAATCCGCGTAGTAACACGCCATCTCAACCATTCAAAATTGAAAGCTTCTACTTGAGGCCTGTTTTTTGTTGCATTGATAAAAATCATAGAAATCAGTAGGATTTCTCCATTGGAACGGCAGAACACTCCAAGTCTTCCTCGCAGCAGCAGTATGAAGGTCGTTCAGGAGTAGTTCACTACCAGCTTACCAATACCCGCAGAGCACACCCACGAATGAAACTTGTTAAATTTTTCTAAGAACTACTGGTGAAGTCTTCTTGTATCATTAACATTCCAGTGATTTATTCAATGCATTCAAAAATCCTTTCCATGGCGCCAGTTACCATTTGCGTCTGTCATGAATCCTTTTGTAAAATTTCCTAAAAAGCCTTGCTAACACAAAACCCAAGGAAATCAAAGTCACAGTTTCAATGCAAATAAAAGAGGTCGTTTGAGATGGCATCATTAAGTTATAGCCCCATATCTGCATCAGTTGACAACTGAAAAAACTGAACACTTCCAGTGCTTGTTTAGAGCCTAGACTCTTCTACAATCAAGCTTTCGTTTTCACTCGAAAAGGCCTTGCTCATACAAAGCCAAAACAAAGTCGATGGCCCAGTCAGATGTTTTCACTCAACAACCTACGTAGTTTTGTCCATTGATAAAACAAACATCTACAGATTTAATAAAGGTGCTCTCCGCAGATTTACAGTTTCTGAAATAGTGCAGCTTGTTTTAACAAAAGATAAATTGTCTTACGACAAGGGGGCCGCGATTGGAGGATGGCTCATTAGCAGCACAGATTGACGCAAACATAGTTCACCGACTCCTCCAAAAACCGCACTACAGGTATGATGGGCAGCTCCAAGTGAGATGGAGGGACAGCGTTACACTTGAAAAGCACAAAACGACAACAACGAGGATCGACAAGAGGAGGAATTTCATCCGCAGCAACCGCGGCCATTATTACGGGACGGTGGAGAGGGCGTCGGGAAGTAGCAAACTGCCATTGCACCACCGAGCCCTTTGGCAGGGCATTAACCACCGCCCAGGCCACCCGTGTGTCACATGCACACCAGACCCTGCTGTCTGCTGCTGTCATTGAGCCACAAACCGTTCCATGGAAGTTATCCCGCACCCTCTGCAGAACATCGAGGCTAGTGGCGTAGACAACAGAGTAGAAGAGAGATCGCCAGCCACTCGGTTCCATCACCTGTAACAGTCAGTTTCCCATTAAAAATTAGTAAAAGGTTCTTCAACAATCTAGTCGCTCATTGATCATCAAAGTATTTTTGATGCAAAATACCGACAACAATCATTAAACATTCCCCTGCCAATAAACGATACCGAATAACCGCAATTATCCTCCGTCAAGGGTTTCGTATACATCTGGTGGTGCATTCCGCGGTTCACCAATGGAAGCCTAACCTTAAATTGGGGCACGTTTCTGAACTTGCATATTGCTATATCTCGCGTAGATCACCTCAAAAATAGCAACTACGCCGGCAGGTTTTGTAAATAAGAACTTCTGTGTACGGCATCCGAAAGCAAGCAATCGTTGTCAACTAAAAGTAGTTTTCATGAACTCAAACTTAATAAGCGCTATAACGATTAGGCTTACTTATCTGCTTGGTCAGTAATGATGGAAGAGCAAATGAATGTTCACAAGAAAATCTAAAAATGCATTTTGAGTGGAAGAAGGATACCAAGAAAATGCTTGGCTCAACTGTGAGACTGATAGTGGAACATTCAAGCATAAACCCTGCCTAAGAAACAAAATAAAATGAACTCTGTCACACACCCAGCTTCTACTAACTTGGCCCAACATTGTTTTTAGCCTACAGCAGTAAAAACGCATAATTTCGAAGGGACTAAAAGAGCATGGCGTTTTGAGAATTGCCACAGGTCAGCACTAGCCATAAAATTTCAAATTACTCTAACATAACGGCTCAGCTCTGCATTGAAACCCAAAGGTCAGCCAAATTTGTCGGATAAAGTTATGACCTACGAAGCCCTTTGTTTCAACGACTGGGCAGCTGAGGCGTCCATCCCCAAGATCCCCAAAATGAGTACACTAAGAATTAGAAGGACTACAACGCATCTCCATTAGGTTAAGGCGACTGTCATATATGTGATGGAACCAATGACAACAAGATGTACTACTTCAATTCACTAATGGATTGCAGCCCCAATTATGACTGATGCGAAACCCTCCAAGAATTGCGCAAAAGATCATGCGCATTTTTCGCTGCAAGAGTAACTGTTGTCGTTGTTAATGTTGCGCCTGTAAACACAGCTGACCTGCTATATGCGCCGAGTGATTGCGCGCTAGAAAGGGTATAAGTACTCCATAGACCGCAAGAAATGGGTCAAGCAGTCATCAGTTGAGATGTTTCATAAGAGCGGAGGTGTGAACAGCATCTTCAGCGCATTCGGTCAAGCCTTCCATAACGTTAGCCAAGGGCGAGAACCTGGTACCGTCAACAATCTTGGGTGAGTTCACAAATCACTCGACCTCATACCGTCGTGGCATTACATTTGAGGCAAGTTTTCGAATGAATTGTGGTCTTATAGCCCCACATTCACAAGAGATCGCGTAAATGATTAAGTACTAATAAGGCTATAGCACATCAATTCGAAAATCATGACCGATACAGGGATAGTTTAATGGTAATCAAAATGAGCAAAGGCAACTTGATGTAAAATGGGTTAATCATATAGGAATCGTACTGAGCAATTTCATTTGTACATGGCAGAAACTTTAGGTGCAATCAAATGCGAGGCGGTGGAAATTGTGGGCATTGCATACCCTTGCCTGGCTGTCCCGGACATTCCATTCCAGCTAATTGGGGAGGAAACTGGGGCAACTGCACCTCGACCCAGAAGCTTGTTAACACTATGACGAGTGGTCCGATGAGAATTGGCTAAGCACTGGTTCCAGTTAGCCAATCATACAAAGTTGTTACCCATCCAACTCTTACTCTAATAAAGCATGCTTTCCTCCTTCACAACTTCCTGCAATCATGAAGAAAAAGCAAATGGGCCGCACAGGGTTAAAATGGGAAAATATTTAACTGCGTTGTATTTACTTAACGGTTACAAATACGAAGTAAAGCTGAGAAAAAAATCTGTTGGAAACATAAGCGAATACTCAATTACTTGGAGGAGTACTGAAGGACAGCGCATGCTGCGGGTGTTCCCCAGATGGCAAAGATAAAGTGAGTACACCTGAATGGTCATATGCTCAACACGCACCTTAATAACCCGATGCGTATGCCTCAAAGCAAGCCAGCACTGCTGTTCGATGTGAGGTTGCAAGCCTTCCCACTGGAGTACAGAAGGAGTTGAAGGCGGTGGAAGCTCCATTGTCTCGGGAACCAGCCCAATCTGGCCAGAGTAGAGGCACTCAGAGGCAACTCGAATTGCCTGGCTATGGGAGGCAGAAGCAGCCGGCGCCCAGTAGGAAAGCGAGCGCACTCGCATCGCCTCTACATCCACGATTTGTTGCATTTCGACAGCAACAGCGATGCTGGAGATCGCTACGACTATTTCATCTTTGAATACCTGGGAGCATATGACAAGATCGCCTACTAAATTATATTTCTAAACCAATGGTGACAGAAACGATGAGTAATCTGTGTGGGAATTGCATTGGGAGTAGCTCTTGAGTTATGCGAACTTTCACTTAATCCTTTTGGTTTCTCAGGGAAACTGATCAGGCGAACACATCATCAAATGATGAACAAGAGTACTAGTAAATGGTTGACATTTTGGTAAGTGGGTTGCCAATTCTTCAGTTGATGTAGGATATTTTCCGAAAATAAATGTAGTTTTGCAAGAGAATTTGATAAAATAGGGGATTTCAGCAATTAAAAGCTATTTATACAACGCAAGAATGCTTTAGTTGTATAGCTAAAGAACGGCTCCTATGACTGAATTATACAAAAGTATCAGACGTACAGGGATGTCAAATCAAACAACCATTGCAATGGAAACGTTTTGCAGCAATGCCCAAACTTTTGATAATGCACTTTTATGGTATTAGTCTCCTCAAAGGCTTAACTATCTCACTATAGTAATGCGATGTGAGAAGGGCTTAGCTATTTACTCCAACCCACACGAGATCAGTCACTGTTCCTGATGCAAAAATTCTTCCATGTTTTTCGAAAAGGAGAAAACCACCACCAGCATCCAGCCCATTTAACTCCGTTGGCTTAAACTAAACACATATAAAGGACCATTACGAAAATCTCATTGAAAAATAAGCCTTAATCTTGGTAAACTTTAATTGAACCCTTTCACCAAAAGTCAAGTAAAATGAGTAGTAAAAACTGTAAAGGTGTCAACATTTGGGACCTGATAAGGATACTCAGATAAGCCAAGCATAAAAGCCATTTATGTATTATATGCTAAGTCAGAGAAGTAGGCGAACCCCGTAAAGCACAATCCATAGGTCAACTGAAGATCTCCTACCTTAACATCAGAGAACCGATTAAGGGTATCAGGAGACCACGGAGATGAAAGAAAGACTAGACTCGGGGGCACGTTTCCGATCCGACGACGTCTTGCAGAAGGAATGTCAAAAATATGCTTGAACAAATTATTGATTGAGCCAAGAATGCTGGAATCCGAGAGTTCAACATTCGTAGTCAGGTGGCAATGAATTACATCATCAAATTTTAGACCAAAATTGCCTAGACAAAGTGATGGGCTGTAGCAATGCATAGCTTACTTAGCAGTGACCCCAGCTTAAAAAGGGCATCTTGAGTCGCGCACTTAACACGTAAATGCAGCTCCATTTCGACCGACGAACGATCCACTCCTATGCACGTAGGCGTTGATAGAAGCCCACCAGGCAAACTAAGAACCCCAAGCGTGCTATTAACAGGGGTTAGTGAAGCATAATCTTCGAGAGAGTAGTGCCATTTTTTCGCATTGGATATGTCTCGAGATATTTCTGAAGGTACAGCATCAGTAAGGGCTGCTAGTCTTTCCTCAGTAGAAACGAAAGGACGTCTATGCGCTATAACATCTCCGACAGCAACATCCCTAGCAATGTCCAACAAGGCTTCTCTGGAGGAGCGAATTTCGGCCATATTCTTATTCTATATAAAAACAGACAAGTAGTGGACCAAATTTTACCTCTAACCGGAAACCCTTGTATCGAAGGTAGGCTACAGTCGAGAAGGGATCGCTAGAATGAATAACGACTTTCGGTTCCCCAAGTGGAATGATGCGCTTGGAAAATAGTGGGCAATCAAAGGTGAATGTCTCATACTCTCCGCCCTCACCACAAGGATTCAGTGCGCAGTTTGAATCGTCTGCGAGACAAAACGCAAGCGGAACAAAGTCGGCAATCCAGCAGCCCAGATCGCGTTCTATTTCTAATCCATAAGAGGCTATCTGGCCACATTAATAAGAATGCTTTATGCACCTTAACAATCCTCGCCATCAATCCAGCACCAACCATATCAAGCAAGAGCTCCTTTTGATCTCTTTGCCAGAGATAAGTCAATGAAACCCAGGAAAGCCGTTCACAAACGTTCTCAATGCGCTCGCGTTGATAATTCGATGAGATCGCACCAGAAACCAGGCCCCCGACATCAGCATGGTTCCTGCGAACATGTAACAGAAGATTGAAAAGATCCTCAACCTAAATATAACATAGGATGGCATGTCATTTACCTCGTCGCCAGGTGATACCTCATAGGTACGAGAACGACAGATGGCAACACGATTTATCTTCGATTGGTAAAGAGGTACATTCAAAGCCTCCGAAAGAAAACGAACCCCTTCGGTACCAACAGTTTGAAACATATAACTATCAATCTCTACAGTACTTATCAATAATAACCGTACAGATAATTATGTTACTCTTCTTCAGTAGATGGAGGCTGCATATTCACTAGAGCAACAACTTCATGATTCTGAGAGACACTTTCTAAAATGGAAAACATGCCATCTTTCCCCCCACTAATAAGCGCCACGACACGCATGGCGCGGCGTGGAAGTGACTACTGGGGCTATTGTAATTAGGCAAATTCTGAGGCGAAACGCGGTGTAAGGTCATGGTAGAATTGTGTGAGTTAAAGCAATTTTTAGAAGCAAACGAGCAAAATGGCCCTTTAGAATACTTGGAACTTCTTTGTCGTCTTTCAAAAGTTAAAGACCTATGGCTGCTTTAATGCAGCAAAACGTGTTAATTCAGTGAGGCAAAAATATTGGCAAAAACTTTTAAACAATAAAAGGATACCATTAGCATTGCTTCCTGTATATTCTGCTCATAAATTATCTTTGCGTAAAGGAGTTTCGTGGAACTGGAACAAAGGTTTAAACACGAAAACATGTTGATGAACCGTAGAGTCAGCATTTCTATCAGTTATTGTGCTCCAGTTAATATGTTAATTAACATCCTACTAATTTGGCCTCTTTTGCTGGAATTAGATATACTTATGGTCAATTACTTAGGAGTTATAGAGTATCAAAGGCCTAAATAAAGGCTTTTGATTGCATTAGTATAGGGTTTGGATTATTGAATTCTTTGAATGCGCCGATGATTACTCGATATGTTAGTGATGCTTCAAGGACCAACGTGTTTGGCCGCTAATTCGGTTGTGTTTTGCCTGCAAATGGTTTCTGCTTAGCCGTGCCGACCACAGCAGAATAAGTGGATTCCCCATCGGTGATTTCTCAAGGTTTTTGCTTCGACTTTTGGCATATTCTGAACTACTTTGTTTAGCCTAAGTGGACTGAATGTCAGTGGTCGTATTCAAATTCTAGATGATGTGCTCTCTGAGATCTGTAAACCCATTTCATCGTGGCTTGTATTTTTGTTAGATTAGATCTGACAGATATATATCCCTAAGTTGTGGTGCAGTTAACCCCATTAAAGTACCCATAGCCCATTTTGTAAAAGACGTTTCCATTTTCTTTTATTATTTACATCGGCCTGGCCATCTCACGATTTCTGGGCCAATCATTAGCTAACTGTGTGTTTCGCTATCACACCTGTACGTCACATGCACTTCTCATCATAATAGCGTGACGAACTAAGCTGGTCATATCACTTGGTACTAAACCAAGCTACCTCAGAAAGTGAAATGGTGTTCCAGTTGTTTGATTTTTACTTTATTTCATTTTTTAAGCATCATTCAAAGTCAACCGGAATGAACACTTCGGAGTGTATTCCAAACAGGTGAATGGAATTTAAATTAATTACTCTATGACGGCAAAAGTACGGGTACGTAGCGGGAAATCCGTATCATATGGGGGTCTTGACGTCTGAAAATGTATTTCGGCATGAGATTTCTGCTATTTTCATTCAAGTAGTAACGAGTTGGATTGGTATTTTAGAGGATGTGATGTAGGAAGTACATTTTGTAAGGACTGAAGTAACCGAGTGGTCACCCGATTGAACAAAGCACTAACTCATTGCAGGTGTGCCAGTTCTTAAAATGTCGGTGAGAGTTAATCACTTAGGGCTGGAATGGGTATAAATTAATGGGCAGTAAATATGTGATACTTAAGTGGCATACGTAACATTCGAAAGAAGTTCAGAGTATTATGCTAATAGCCAAAAGGTGGAGGTCGCGTAGGTTCTCGATGTAGAACTTTCTGCGATATCTCTAGAAACAGGATGCGATTGCATTATTTCTGCAAATTCGCACAATTCCCTGTGTGATATTCCGTTTCTCATAGTTTCGATAAGAATATGTACAAGTGCTTATACACCTTGAGATATGATAAAACAAAGGCGGATTACGAAAGGAATCTAATGAAGCGGAGGTAAGAATAGTAAATTCAAGATCATGCTTAAGGCAAAAACTGCATGAGCTTTTCAATAAGGAATTTGCACTTCTCGACCAAATCTCTCTTAAAATCGAAGAAGATCGGGAGCTTCGCTGTAAGCAGCTCAAGGACGAAATCGAAGAAGTACGAAGACTTAAGGAAATTGAATGCAAAGAATTGGCGGAAGCTGGATACCGGTAATTTCTGGTATTTTGAGCACACTGTTACGAGTAAAATGATAAGGCATTTTTATTCGAGACTGGTTTGAGCTACTTTCTGCATTCATTCGCGCGTGCCAAACTTATACATTGGGATGGACAATGAAGCATGGCTTCTCGCGTAGCCTGTTAGCATTTTTCGCTAGCATTATCCTTGTCATCAACTGCTAAACTTACCGCTATTAGGTTTGATTTAAAGTAACTATATGCTGTGATGGAGGCGATGTTAAGTGATCTGGTCCGCCGTGAATCAATGGACCGCATGGGACTCGATACGCTCATTGGTATCTATAGTACGGATTTCGATGCTTACTGTCGGTTGTCATTCAAAGTTCATAATCAATTATAGCATATTTGACACTTGTAAATGAGCGTTTCATTGAGTGATTTTGACGTATGCCCATTCGTAGCGTAGCCACGAAGAGCCGAAAGCCGATATTTCTCGACAAACCACCTTTTTTCTTAATTGAGAGCAGCATTCAGCAATTCACATTCCTACTTAAATTTTGCGGCTATGCCTAAGTTTTCAAATGCTTGCTTAGGTTTTTAATGCATTACCTTACTCTTTTGAATGAATAGCTTGCTTATCTTACTCGAATTCGCATTCAGTGCTGTCAATTTCAACTCATTACAAAGCATTGTAATTAACCAATAGGAATTCGCTTAGTTTTCCAACTGTTTTATATTTTTAGGAAACGAACAACGATGAATAGAGATAACTATAGGCTAGTGCTGAATAAACTTTATGTTCGGGATCTCAATGCACAGATAGAGTTGAATAAGCAGATAAAGACCCATGAGAATAGGAAAGAGGAGAGGATGCCAGTAATGGTTTCTCTGCCATTGGGCTTTGGGTGTGGAAGTGACAATACCAAGCCTAAAAGGTAGGTTTATTTTACTTTCTTTTCTCAACGTATGAAGGGATTTAAACGAGGAATTAAGCAATGTAATGTCAGCCAGAGAGGCAAGAAAGTCAGAAATCGCAAAGCAAAAGAAGAAGGAGGCTGAAGAGACGGTAAGAAGTTCAACCATTCATTTGGAGGGGGTATACAACGAGTGAAAGAAATAGGTTCTTTGCATAATAAACGTGATGGTGGGCAGCGTACCTTCACTTCATTGAGCCTATTCTCATTCCCTCCGCCACTTGAAGCTATGACTGCCTATAACAGGTTGTTTAAAGCGCCACTAATTTCTTGGCCTTACGGATTTGGGAAATTTTAGATATTGATGCATTCTTCAATCATGTAATTAAATTGTATAAATGTTGCGAAACGCATTTAGGCTGAGCGTGAAGAGATGCATCGTCGTGAGATAGCGCAAGCTGCCAAGGCAGCTTATGAAAGGAAGGCAGCGCTGCGAAGTTCATTTGAAAGGTGGATTGAGGAAAGGAACCAGGAACTTGAGAGTGCCAGAGAAGAGGACGCAAGAACTTCAGCCTGGCTGACCTCTAATGCCATTCAACAGGGCGCAGCAATCGAGAATAAATCGCTTCAAGATAAAGTTAGTGGTCTGGTAATTTGAAGTTGGACAACATCTGGCTTGAACAGTTATTTTTTGCGTAGTTAATGTTTAATTGAATTTCCTGTGTATGATAACGATACATGAGCTATGTGAATCAGTGTCTGGGCCAGTGCATTGGAGGCTTCAAATGCTATGTGAGTTGGATAACAAGGAGACATTTAATTCTCTGGTGTAAAAATGGCCTTGAGACAAAATGTTAGCTGCAAAGGGTTGCTGTCTTGGTTACTGAAACATGCTGTTTTACATAGGCGACTTACAAGCAAAGAGCTCTGGCGTTCTTTGAGTATGCAAAACAATTGCAGAGGGTGAAACTATTGGAGGAGGAAAGAAGGGAACTGGCCATGGAACGGACCGCTGGAGACATAATGAAGGCAAATGAGGCGAAACAAAGGAGGATGAAGGAGGCGAGTCAAGCTCTGGAAATAAAAATCAGACAGGCACAACTGAAACAAATACAGGAAAAAGGTAAGTTGAATCACCAATCTTGACTTATAGCAACATTCAAACGATTGCATTCATGGATGTGTGGTATGTGCAGTGTAGTATTAGTTACTTTTGTATTTAAAAATAAAAACATAAACTCACTTGTGCAGTGCCAAATGCACTTGGTCTGATCCATATTGGCTTTAAAAAAGTGAAACATCCCGATTTGTCCCCATCCAAAGTGAGAGGACACGCTGAACGTGTTTTCCACCAGGCTATGGCAACTAGTTACAGACAAAGCTTTTGCATTACTATTTAACAGCAGTTGAACTGATCAGCCCAGTTGGTTAAAGTGGCGGTGATTGAGTCTCCTCCATAGATGATGCCTACAACTACGTCCGCTGCTTACTTCAAACTTCATGACCACATGGGTTATAAGTGGGATGCAAACTATTTGTGAACCTCGAGATTATCGTAAATTTTGATGAAAAGGGGAAAGCAGTAGATGAATTCTTTCCAAATTCGTGAGCAAGGCCATCTTACAAAGCACAACACGTTCAATTACGTGTGTGTGTAGAGTTAGGAATGTTTGGTGATTTCTTGGCGTTGTGATTTTAGAGGAGAGATCATTTGCGCCTACAACCGATGACGGTCCCAGCTTCCTCGACAAAATGCTTGGCGATGGTGAACGAGGGGTGGATGGGAAGATAATAGTCAGGCAGGAGGGAAGCCGCAATCACCAACAGCAAGTATATCAGAAATCGGCCAAGTCACTCTTTACGGATCGGGAGATGGAAGACTGCGAATTCACTCGACCATTCCAACGCTTCCCAGAGAGGAATTTAGGCACTTATGAGTACTTGCATCCTTGGCGAAAACAATCTTTTAAGTAATTGGAGTTCAAAAGCCGTATTTGTTAGACAGGGGTAAACCAGGTGCCCTAGAATTAAATCCATTTAGTACAGATTGTCGCATTTATTAGAACAGCGTAAAGACCGTAAAATATAAGCCTAGGAATGACATAATTTAGTCTGGACGTGCCATTAGCCGCTTTTAATTGTTCCGTGGTCCAAGAAAATCTTGCCGAAGGTACGGAAAGCCTGTATAATAGAAGTTAAAGGTCAGTTAAGCTATATTAAATAGTGCCCTTTTACGGTATTATATTGTGGAAGAGTATAAGAGGAAATACCACAAGTTTGAAAATGGCAGAACTTTTCAGATGTAAGAATTTTTGTGACTGCATGTGTGACCCATCTTTGGAAATTCATCAGTCATTTGTCTTATTTCTCCCAGTTTGAGCAATGGTATCGCCTGCAAAGACGCAAGGAGAAACGAGGGCTCATCGTTAAAAATAAACTTCGAAGGGGCCAGTAGGGGTGATCATCCAGTGCCAAATTATAAGTGGTAAAAGGAGGGTAAATTGTTGCTCACTTTGTCCATTATGAGGACCTCGAACGATGAGTCCAACTTGGTTTGAAGACTGCCAAGGACTGAGGGGAAAGAAAACAACTGTGCAGCCTTGAGTGCAAGGAGCACAATCGTAGTTTCCCAAAGCCTTGGTATATGAAGATGTTTGTGCTGCTAAGTAATGTTTGGTAAAAGGTCTTGCAATGCACTTTAATTGGATGTAATAGATGAGGAAGATATGAAAGGATGGAAAGGTGGATCAAGCGGTTTCTTGATTAGGTTGGCGGCTAACCATCCGCTTGATACCCAACATTCACAGGCAAGATCCTACCGCGATATGAAATGTAGGAAATTTTGAATGTCGTTTTTTTCCGACCCTGTTTACCCCATCCTCGTGGACAATGCGGGCAAGAAAGCTCTCCGACATGGTGCTCATATTGACACCCTGCGGATACAGTTTGGGAACACCAGCGACGACCACCACCCTAATTCCAAACAAATGAACTACAGGCGCACCTCACCGCATCCAACCAATATGCGGTGGAGTAAGCAATTATTGCAGTATATTGTGGTGCGTTGTAGCGCAGTCCGCATTCCCCAGAAAGGTGAAACAACAACCACTGTAGATACAAAGTTCAGCAGAGCTCAAAGACAAACTTACTAATGTCACATTCATCGGTCATGACTTTGCACGACCAGTCAACAGCTTCCCTCGTTGTCTACTGCGACAGATCAAACCTGTTACAGTTCTAGCATTGGTAAGTCTTTTTCTGTATGCGTCAGTACTTCCACCCTGCGCTTAAGCCACATCCTCAGCATCAATCCTCGGTCATTTCCCTTAACTAAAAGCTGTGTTAGGGAAGATGATTTCAAGATAGAAATATACATTGGCTGAGCACGCTGAGGCAAAGAAGAGTGCAGTCCCCACCATCGCGACCTGCTCGTACCACTTGTGAAAGAGCCTAGTGCTCCACATTGCGGTTTCATAGCCAATTTTACCATGCTGATTTACTAGATCGTTCATAATCATGCTATTCATCGTTATTGCCAAAAAACAAAACTCATTGAAATACTGTCCGCAAATTGTTTCGTGCATTGAGCCATACGGAATCCAAAAAAACTGGTTTTTAATCAGAACACCCACAAAAGCCCCAGCACCTTCACCTTGACACTCCAAGACCCTTATCTGGGCCAGTCCGCTCGATGTCCAGCTGCATTGGCATCAACTCCTAGTAGGGACATACAGTGGTCAACTGAAGACCAGTCTCT